AATCTCCTGTTACTGATAACATTACTGGGGAAAATCTGAAAGTCACCCCTTTAGCGATTTCTCAGTTCTTACTAAGATTGTTTAATAAGAAATGGTCCACGGACGATGCCTGTGAATTGGAATATGACTATCATGTACACTTCCCTAAAATTCCTAATCCAATCAAATTCAAGGATTACAAAAGACATTGCTCTTATGTATATTGCATCAAAGGTTTTTATGGTCCTTTTAAAAAAACCACATACTCTCTTCTACACCTAACCTTTTATCCAAATTTATTTGCGCCTACCGTTTAAGAAGTAACATAAATGAACAAATTTTAGCTTTGAAGATTATAAAGCAGAAATGTGAGACAAATATAAGTTGACTTTTTATTTTATTATTGATTTTAAACGCGCTTTTGTTAACGTTAGTCATGATTCTCTGTGGAATATCTTAGCAGAATGCGGCATTGATACTAACATCATAAAAATCATCAAGACGCACTACTGGAATCTTTTCGCCACTTTCAAAATTAACAATAAAGATTCTTCGCAAAAAAAAAGGGGATAAACAAGGGTGTTGTTTCCTCGTGGCTGTTTAATTCATGAACAAAATTATAAAAGATATGTTTGAGAACTGCTAAATCTTTTAGAACTAAGGTCTATGTGTTACTTAGAGAATAGGGTGATATTCTACGCGGATGACATAGTTATGATTACAAAAGGTTTGGGAAGAAACTCAAAATTTGATATTTATACTAAACCTTCAGTCTTAAGGCTGGCCTGGATATAAATTTTGATAAAACAGTTATAATGCCCTCGTCCCATGCACATCCTCTAGAAAACTTGTAGTAAGGGGCAAGATGGTAAAGGTAGTGAAATCCTTTAAATATCTTGGTGTAACCATTGGCAATAGAGGCAGTTGCAAAGGGGAACTTAAAATCCATATACAAATGCCACTGCAGCTTTTTATAAATTTTTCAAACTGTAGAAAGCTAGATAGATATCTGTTTACAAAACTCGGAATTTTTAATTCAACCATCATTCCAATTCTCCTCTATGGCGGAAACAAATGGGAGATTACCATGAGAAAGAGAAGAAAATTGCAAATGTTCGTAAGTAAATGTCTAAGAATAATAAACGGCAATCTTCTACTCTTTCGAATAAACACTAAATCACATGTTTAAAAAAAGCCCCTTACCTTCTTTGTCCACATCTTGAGGAATTATAGTAACAATAGTCTGGTTATCCATACCATTAGTTGGTTATATTACTTTAATGGGAAATCATATCGCAAGTATAAAACATTAAGGTTCTACAGAACTTTGAAAGATATAATATATTTAAACCTAAATATGAAACAGTTCCTGAAATTAAATAAAAACAAAGGGTCTAAAAGGAAACTACTAAAAATCAAATCAAATTATCTAACTCTCCCTTAAATTCTTTCTTGATACAGGTTTTATTTATTTATCTTCTTCACTGACTTATATTTCATTAAAACTTACTTTTCGATTATTTTTTATTAATCTATCAATCATAGATACAATTTACTTTAAAATTAAAACCGGTCCTTCCCTTGTCTACAAAGTAATTAAATACATATGTATTGCAATTCATGGGTGTGTGCTGTATTTTTCTGCCCACAGACGTTTAAGCAATAGTCCTAGGGGATTGAGCAAGTACCTGCGCTTGCCCACAAACATGTGATCTCACCCTAATCCAATTTGATAGATTTGAGAAAAACCCAGCGTAGCCCTATCCATAACCAGAGGGCAACAACGTTTTTATCACGTGTTACATAACACTGCAAATACTTTTATCTACAAGTCAAAAAAAAAATTTTCAAAAAAAAAAAATGTAAACGATTCTCGCATTTATACATTGTGTGTCCTAAGTAGATTTCATAAATTTCAATAATAAAAGATATATAAGATACCATCTATCTATACCTACTAAGGTACAGGATAGAATGTTGATAAAAAAAATGGAAAAAGTTATCTAGATTAGAGATCTGCATAAGTGCTCAAGCCCAAACGGGCTTCAGGTCAGGCCTATTTTTTAAAAAAATTCGGGCTGGGTCGGATTTGACCTTAGAAATTTTTTGAAATGTATTTAAATTTATCAATTTTAAGTTGAATTTTTTGTGTAAAAATAAAAATATTTGGGGCCGGGCCGGTAATTTTTCTTTTAAAAAAAAATTTCGGATAAGGGCCCAACCGGCAAAACTTTTTTAAAAAATCTCAGGTCGGTCCGGCAAAACCTTTTTAAAATACTGATACTTCAAAAAGATAATTTAAAAAATTGAGATAATTTGAGATAATATATTTTTGGACATTTATTTTTTTTAAAAAAGACATAACAAAACAGTTTATTTACATTCATTTTTTCACTTTTATATTTTCGTATAGTGTATAATGTTGTATATTTACAATTACATGTAAAAAAATTTGTTTATCTTATACAAGTTATTTATCAGGACAAATGTCATAAATAAAAAAAAAACATATACTAAATAGAAATTCTTATAAAAACTCATTAACTGAAAAGTACGAGGTAGAAGAAAGTACCGAAGAGATAGTAAACAAAGTGGACGCAGTAAGCAATAACGATGAAATGAACCTAAAGGAGAGAGGGGAAAATGATACAAGTCAAGGAACTGGTACACAAACTATTATTAATATCTGATACTATCTATTTTGTCTAGATTGACAAGGTTTGCAAATATAATTAGACAATCAACTTGGACCTAAAGAGGGAAAAAATAGTGTTTTTCCTTAGAAAAAAATATCTTTGATATTATGAATATTTATGTAAGTTGTTGGTATCGAGGCAAAAATCTTTCCGTATAATTTAATATTTCTAATTCAATTTTATCAGCATCATCAATAAAAAGAGTATGAATTAATAGGATGGTCAAACGCTACTTTGTTCTTAATAATAGCATGTGTTTCATCTAGCAATAGATTTGATTTCAAATATTCTTTTTATCTTCGTTATCAATTCATCTAATATAAAAAAATACGTATCTCGAATGAGAGCTACTAATAAAAAGTCCTTATATTCATAATTAAAAAAATATTAAAAATCTTTTATTCAAACCAATTTCGATAGCTTTAACCAGTCGTAGGCTATAAAGTAAGTCAGTTTGAGATTCATTTACGTTTAGATGATTCCGCTCGACGATAGATGCGTTTTGCGCATTTAAATCACGTAAACTTATTTTTATGACAAATAAAAAATTGGAACCAAATCCCCCATAAAATAACAATTATTTTGACCCATCGCTTTAACAATATCTATTGCAAAGGTGATAACTCCTTTAGTATATTACTCAGTATTTATGGATGTTGTATTGAAACGGGAAGATAATTATTAACATTTATTGAGATCTATTTATATTGTATATTTGTCAGATATCTGCAGAGGTACCATTTGCTTTTATTAAATTTTTGGCACACCCAGGCTGGATTTTTTTTGCCAAAAATTTTTTAGCGGCCAGCTGGGGTTTTTTTAAAAAAAAATATATTCTATTTATTTTTAATTTTTTATTGCTATTAATGGCGATTTAAAATAATGTTTTACGGCCCGGCTAGAGTATTTTTAAAAAATAATTTTTAGACCTGGCCTGGGTATATTTAACCTATTAATAGTCAACATACTATATCCGCAACAGTTGTTATTTGTTGATTATAAATATTTAAATTTTTTGAATTGAAATAATATGTGCGATAACCCAGTGTCAGCATAATGTAAATATACGAGGTAAAACATATTGCGGTGACCTATTCTAGAAATTTTATCGACGTAGCAGTAGTAAACTCATGAAAGTTATGGAATAGAGTGAATCCTGATGACAAAAAATTATTAACATTTTCGCGGGAAATAACTAAGATATATATATTATATGTAACATGGTTTAAAAAATCATAATATAAAATTACATAATTGTACTCTTAGAAATGTAAAATACATTGATAAATTATGAAATTATCTATCATATTTTGATATTTTGCAATAATATAATTTCAATCTAATTTTTATTCACCTATCTAATAGTCAACGTTACTGCAATGGTTTAGAATTCCTATTTAGGATAATTTTTTCATGATTTCTTAGTTAGACTAAAATTTGATCAAGAAATTTATTGGCTGGAATTTGACCATTGATGGGCTAAAAAAATTAAAAACTGACCAACCCATATATCCGGCCAATATTAGGGTTGAGCCTGCAGGTCCCTGATATTTATTTTAAAATATTTAATATATTAGCCAGCATTTGTGGTCATTAAAAAAAATTAAACAAATTGTTATTTGAGGAAGATATCATTAGAATGTTGATAATTATTTGTGGAAGTTTTCATTGGAATATTAATTATTGGTGGGAAATTTAAACAAACCTAAATTTATAACTAATTAAATAAAAAGATTTGTAATTATTTTATGATTTCCATGGTTAAATTAAGTTCTGATCTGATAACTGACTTTATTTTTGAAGAAGTAAGGAAAGATCTTTATTTAGTTATAAAATTTTATGTGCCCAAAACAGATTCTGTTGCCTTGGGAGATGGCAAAAACAAATTTGGTGAAATCAGATGTCCATAATAAAATAGGAAAATTACAGGATATATAAAAAATGGCAGTTTTGGTATAGAAGAAGAATTATTCAGAGGTATAAGGAAATTATTAAGACAGTAAGTTTTATTATTCATATATTGTTGATACTTAGGGTGGAAATATTAGAAAACATGCTGATCTGTTGCAAGAACAAGAGGTATTATCTCAACTTAATGAAGCTGAGGGAGAGTATCTTGTAGAGAAAGAAATGTCAGAAACTATTGATTTAACATTAGCAATTCCAAATTGTATGATGCGATGTTTGTCACATAATTGAAAATACCCAAAATGAATCAATAAAGAGTGATATATTGCAACATGTACATATACAACTATATAATGTATATATAGGACTATATATTCTAATTATTATGATTAATTTTATATAACATAGTCTAATTATAATGTTATCAATAAAAAATATTATTTAATAAAATAATTATAATTCTTGAGTTTAGATATATCATATTATTCTCTGTAGATTTGTTTCCTGTTTTCAATATGTAGTTCAATATATCATGTATGGTTTCTTTGTTTTGCATTCTAAAAATTACATAAAAAATATTACAATTTTTATATATAAAAAAACATTTGTTCAGATGAAAATACTCTAATTTTTTTTATAAAAATCTAACAATCCAGGCTCAAACATTATAATGATTGTCTAAACACTTATTTAAAGATTGATATAAAATTTGTTGTCATACTGTTGTGAACATCTGCTAAGCTTATTTCTTTATACAAGAATAGATTAAAGATTTTTATTGTAAATGTTTTAACTAAATTATTTGTAAAAATTCTATAAAGCCCTTTAAGTTAGGTCCCAAAACTTTTAAAAATTTTCCCAGACTATTAAAAAAAACCACATAACTTTTTAAAGTAGTCAATGGTTTTGCAAAATATTCAAACTTTTACCATCTTATGAATGCAGTAAATCAATTCTGTATCCCTATATGTGTATGGATAACAACTATGTAATATATTATAATGTAACTTTTAAGATATTGATATATAATATTCCACATAAGCTTTAGAATCTGTGTATTTTCTTTATTGATAAAGAATGAATAGATATAACATTAAATACATTACCTTATCCTTTTAAGTTATTTAAATTTGATCATCTAATATTAAGAAATATAGATCACAATTATTAGTAAGCTTGTTAAAATTTCTATTATAAGTTTGACTTTGGGCTAATTTCTACTTTATTTAAAAATCAAAATTAGGTAATTGACGTAAATTCGTTTGCGAGATCAGCTGTTAACCTTCGAGCTATTTCACATCATTAAACTCAAACTTCTAAAAAAATGAAATCCAGTTCCAGACATCACCTTTAATCTCCTCCAACCGAATTTAATAAAATTCATAAAATATGGGAGATGTCAATCAAAAAAAAGGTAATTTAATGAAGTGTACGAGTATTTTAGCCCTCTTCTGAAATTTGACATTAGATGCGAACCGGAAATTCAGCCCAAATTATTTAAAATATATTTATATCGAAGCATATATATGCTAATTAAAATCAACAATGAGTTTAGCCTAAATCGAATTCATTAGTCTTAGAATAAAATGACTTAATATTGGTTTAAACTTAACTGAGAAAAATTGCTAAGAAAATTTCATCCAATATCATTTTTAAACATTAAAATAACAGAATTGAAACTTTATTTATATAGACAATTCTAACTTACTCTTTTATATAAGATAATATTATCATTTACAAAGATTTCTTTTATTTGAAATCTATTATTTATAGGATTATTATTTATTTATTAGATAAAATACAATACTAGTATTAAATCTTTTTATGTTATTTACTGGATAAGAAAGCAAATGAACATTATATCTTATTTTAGATATTTACCTTTTAATAGGCTCATCAAATTGTTATTTATGTAATTGTTATAACTATAAATGTTATAAAGTATTTTATTAATTGCTATAACTATTAACTTAAAAGTTATAAAAGTATTTTATAACTTAAGTGTTATAAAAGTATTTTATAACTTAAATGTTATAAAAGTATTTTATAACTAAAATGTTATATAAGTATTTTATAACTAAAATGTTATATAAGTATTTTATAACTAAATGTTATAAAAGTATTCAAACAATATTTATTACATATTCTGATAAATAAAATAGAAGTAATTATAAAATATTTACTATTGGAAATAATATTCAATATTGACTAAACTAAGTACAATGGATTTATCATCTTACACTATGAAAAGTATTCATTCTCTTATATATTAATTCTTGAAACTTTATTTTCTCAACATCTATTTTATTCTATTTCTATGCCTTAAAAAAAATTAATACAATTTGTTTCAGTCTTTTTAATTAAAAAATTGACAATTTTAAGATATTTGATGAAAAGTAAAGATAAAACATAAAATTTATTTAAATACCATTAATTACTTTTTGCGATATATCAATCCGCAAAAAAAGTCAGGATGCCATTTAGGAAAACTTTTTATCTTGAATTTTATAAATATGAATTCAAACGCGCAAATATTTTAATACTCTTAGAGTGCATTTAATTTTGTATGCACTCGAAAAATGGGCCATTAATTCACATGTGATAATAAATGAATGAATGTATAAAAATATTATTAACATAAGTTTCAGTTAGGTTTAAAAAAAATATTATAATGCAATTTTATTTTTATTTTTTTGACGATTTAAAATCAAAATTGGGTTACTTTGTACAAAAAAAAAGTAATAATTTTGTCAAATTTAAAAAAATATCAAAATCTAAAAAGTTCCCCTAACCATGAATTCAGAGTTAGGGCAAATTGGCGTAGTAGTAAGTACAAAAATGACTGTGAATTTATATTCATATGATACTTTGTATACTCAGCCACAAATTTGCGCTGACTATGAATGCGGTGTAAGATCAAATATACTATGAAAATTAATAGAAAATGAATAATGGTACGCGGTGGTAGAGCATTTTATATGTTTTTTATAATTTCGAATAGAAATCAAACTATCGCAATCATTAAAACTTATCATTCTGAAATTTATAAAGTTTCGATACCTCTGTAACATTACAAACAACAATATCATGATTAAATTTATAAAGTTTCGATACCTCTGTAACATTACAAACAACAATATCATGATTAAATTTATAATCCCAATAATAACCTCTATTTTTATAGTTAAGATAAACTTTTCATAAGCACGTAAATATTAATTTTTCCATTTTAATATTTTAATTAATATTTATTATATATAAATTCGGACTTTTACAGTGTTATGGATATTATTCATTCATCAATGAATGCTGAGCTAAATATTGAAATGAATTTTTTTTTTACATAACACATAGATCCATTCCATAGATCACTTAACAGCTTTAAATAATTAGCTGTTTCCACTCAAGATCAATATAATAAAATAATTTTTCAGCATATTAAATCTGGTTTTTTATAATGTATTGAGTGATATTTGAATATATATAAATAATTTACAAATTTTCATTATTTATCTTTTAAAAAAGTACAATTGTAGTAACATAATAGCTTTTGCCCTACTTACTCTCAAAAAAAAGAATATTGATTGATTGATGTTTTTAAGATAAGTGTAGTAAAGACAGGAAAAAAGGGAGGTAGGGGGTGGCTGGTCTACTCAAATATAATTATTTATTTCACTTATACCCCAATTTTAATCCCATTTTTTAAATCAATCAAAAAATGTTTTATTTTTAAAAATATTTAAGAAAATGATTATAAAAATGTGTCTGTAATAGATTAAATTATTTCCTCTTTACGTCAATACCTAATTTTTATTTAGGGGAAAAATTTTAAGTAACCGAAATAATAATATCAAATTAATAAATCAATTTTTTAAAAAATTGATGTATTTTTTAGACTAGCCATAAATATTAATGTGTTGTTAAATTGCTCGATTTTTTAAAAACTGCTAACACTATATTTTAGCCTAAAAATATTAGGGCTCCTAGATATTTGTACATAGATGGTAGAAAGGTTTGGATATCTATAATCAATATCTGGAAGCTTGCGTAATATTATTTTGGGCTAAAAATCTTGATGCAAAATTGGTTAAATTGAAGCCATTTAACACTACTAATACATTTATAATCTACCTAATATTTTTACCGGAATCATAGATCTGGTGAAAACTTTTGTAATTTTACCCGAATTTTAGCTAGCCCTAATTTTTAAAATTTTGCATTTTACATAAATTTGTGTGTATTTCGTAACTGGCTGCTTCAAAGAAGATATGGAATGTTTGAGGAGGAAGGAATTTTAAAGGATTTATTATATATTTTTATTTCAACCGATTTTATTTTATTTTTTCTAACCCTACCCGAATTATTTCAAATCATTCTCCTTTATGCCCCGTTCCAACCCGGGTTGCCAATCGCTGATGTTCACGATATTGCAATCAATTAACCATGTCTTTCTAGCGTTTATAGTCAGCTGTCATCCCTAGTCATATAAAGCAACAATCATCTTTTATCACTTATAGATGTTAGACATCACGGTATATTTAATTATTCCCAACATTTCGTCCTTTCGTTTCCTATCTAATCATTTTAGATTTCTTATGGTTTTTACGAGACAATTTATGCATTTTTTTATTTTAATAAATCAATTCCTACCATAATTTTATGATTCTGTCTTTTTTTAATTTAAAACTCACATTTTATCTTATACCGTTCCACAATAGGCTTCTAACGCTTTGATATTTAGCACGACTATATTTGTGAATGAAAGGTCTGACTCTGACTACAGATAAAATATTCTAATTTAGCATTTGTCAAATTGATTCCTTTAACCATATTTATCAAATTTCCCCGGTTATTTGACATGACATCATTCCCTTTGATAATTCATCAATTATCGAAAAAATATTTAAAAAATAATAATATTTGGATTTTAGAAATTGATTATCAAAATTCTTATTTTTTAAAAAACAGTATTTATTTTTTGGAATCACTTGTGGTGCCAAATCTCTCTTTAAATCCATTTTAATCGAAATTTATTTTTCAAATATTTTTTTTTATAAAAATAAAAATATCCGATTTAAAATTTCACAATTCCACGAAATTTTAGAATAATTATGTTGTAAACTTTTTGAAACGATTCTTAAATTTGTAACAATTTTTTATTATAGATTTTTTATCTATAATATAATATATATAAAAAAAATAAAACAAACGACTTATCCAAATATTATCTAAAATTATAGGGTTTGTATGACGTGTAGTGCTCTTTACACATATATCGAAATATATTTCCGGTTAAAATCTAAAAAAAATTTAAAATAATATTTACTGGTAATAAATTTAAGAAAAATATTTTATTCAAAAATACATAACACAAATATCTAATATCTAATATTATCTTATCGAAATTTTTTTTTCCCTGGGTTAATATTGATATAAAAAAGAAAATAATAATCTATTCTTTTTTAAGTGCCATTTCATTTTACTAAAATATTACCTTTTTTTTTATGAACAATCGATATCTAATTTTCTATAGGGTAAAAAAAAAATATTAAATTCTAATGTTTTCTAATCTAAATAAATTGAATTTATAGTTTTTATTATGGATTTCATTAAAGTATCAATTTCAGGATTATATTTAAGAGAGTTTGAGCCTAAATCAATAATCGCAATTTTCAATTATAAATTCATTTGTTTTTTCAAAAAAAAATATTATATAAAATTATTACATTTTTTTCCCCCCTTTAGGTTTAATTTGATTTTATGGTAATATTATATATGTTTAGCGTTAGTGTTGTTAAACGGCTGGCAACTCAATATCGTAGCCAGAATAATATTGGCTAAGCTTCGAGATTTCGATGATATATGTCTCGACCTTTGTTCCTTCTATGAGCGAAAATCTTTAGGCTTGCGTAAGATTCTTCTGGATCGAATATTGAGATAGCCGTTATTAAAAAATCGGCTCTAAACGAACCAGCCGTTTAACAACACTATTTAGCGTCATCGTGTTTTTTTCCGGAAATATGAAATTCCTTTTTTTAGCCCATTTTTTTTTTTAAATTTAAAATTTTGAATTTTTATCGGAAATGGAATCTATCATATTTGGAATACTACCTATCCTATGAATTTTGGGCAATTTTTTCAGTGAACCTTTAAAAACTTAATATAAATTTATATTAAATTCTTCGTATATTTTTTTTAAATATAATTTATAAATGACTCAAATGTTAACGGCCAAATTGTCCACAATTCATAAGATGGTTATTCCAAACATGATAGAATTCATTTCCGGAAAACCCCGATTTTTAAATTTAAAAAAAACGCGCTCAAAAAATGATTTAAAAGTTGTAAAAATAACACATTGACGCCAACTTAGGGATACCGAAAAATAAAACTTTCCGGCTATAAAAATTTTTTTTTTGGGGAGGGGGTATTAAAAAAACTAGATTTTTTGGACATCTTCACCTGCCAATGAACTCCGCTCGAAAAATTGATTTTTTTTATACGTTCCTATATCTCTACTAATATTAAAACCGTAATTTGATTTCTCGAATAATCTATTCCATAATTCAATTCTTTTCCATTTTTTTAAAGGAATATTTTGGATTTAATAATAAAAAAAAATTAGGAGATCGTTACAAATAATATCGAATTATAATTTTAGGAAATTTGGGGGAAATAATTCAAATCGTACAAAAAATTTCGTTATAAATTAGACGAAACAAAATAATTCGAAGTGAACCTTTATTCATATTCTTCGTAAAATATGAATCGAATAGTAGTGGTAAGTAATGTTGTTCGTTAGAATCTTTAAAGTTAGGATCATTATTGGCTAGCCTGCTATTTTTTAAAAATTTAAAATTTTAAAAGATCCCAATTTATTTCAAACAATTTTTGCTAAAAAAAAATTTTGTTGCCTAAAAGTTCAAATGGTACATAATTATTTATACCCTGAAAAAATGTAATATTTTTTTTTAGGATCAAGCTGAGCTCAAAATTTTTAAAATCATCCTCTAGTCATGGATATTTTAAATTATAAGTTCAAATTAATTTTTTTTAAAATCCCTGGCCTGACACCATTTTGTTTTTAAATTTTAGGTTAGAGTTTTGGGGTCAACTTGCAGGGTTCCAAATACCATTCACATAATGCTGGAATAAAATTCCGACAAAATAAAACCCTTTAAAAGACCCGCGCTATATCAATTCTTGTAGATTCTCTCATCCCATGCCCTAAGTCCTTAGTGGAATATATGATCACGCATGTCACCGTCAATTAGGAGATTAGATAAAATTATGACTGCTGACTAATCGAAATTGATTGACGCTAATCTTTAAACAGCTGGAATAACAACCGATTTAAACCTGTTCTACTTGTTTAGGTGACAAAATTTATTTGACGGTTGGGTCGTAAAGTTCAATAAATAATAAAGGTTTCGGTTAATAAATCACGTGATTTTATTTAAAAAATAATAATAATAAAATGAATTACAAACTATAAAAAGATTATAAAAATTGTTTGAAAAAAAAAATAATATTTTCTATCAAAATTTGTAGATACAATATATGATTATAAAAGTATAAAATCACAATTAAATATAAGAAAAATTAGTTAACTATTGCACCGAATGTTTTAAAAAATTTTAAATTTGTATATTTTGTGAAAAATAATTTTTCTAGAGGATATATATATTTTATAATAAATTTATAAAAAAAAAAAAATCTTTTGGTTTTAACATTAACTTGACTTATTTGGTTAAAAAATTTGTTTTTATCATTATTAATCCATTATAAAAAGATATATTGAATAAGATATTTTTTAAATTTATATTAATCAATTATAAATAATTTTAATATTAATCTTCTTTGTATGAACTACTAAGAAAATCTATGATTTGTTAAAAATACCAAAATATAGCCATATAGCCACTTATTATTCTTATTATTATTTTAAACAGAAGATTTTAAATTCTAAAAGTTATTAGCATATTATTTTTTTAATGATCCTTGATATGGGAATGCATTAATGGTGGCAGAGTTGGAGGTAAATTGCGATTGTAAGTGGATTGGTTGGGGAACCCATTGGCGTAATAAAAATAGTAAATAAGTGATATGGCTTCGAGCTCCCTCATCGATTCCACTTCTTTAAAATTGAGGTTGTTAGGATTGCAGTAGTACGGCATCAAAGCTCTTTGGCATCTCATTATGAAAGCTTCTAAACTGTTTGAGCAATCGTCGTATGTTTGAGGTAATTTAGAAAAATTATAAGGATAAATAGTATTGCCGCTAGGTTTATCGCTATAGAAATTCCTATTTTCCACTGGTTTCTTTAAAATATGTCGGATCTCGTTCTTGTTAATCTTTTTTTCGCGTGAGGTAGTTTCAAGAGAAATCGCCGAAAGCTCCGAAAATGTGGAATAGTTTGAATCCTCGCAAGGCGAACAAACATTATTATCATTATCATTCTTGGAGTATCTTTTTGCCAATCCATGGTAACAATGTAACGGTTCCATATGGCTTCCGCCATTAGTAAAATCGTGACTACTTCCGGAAAAAGGTTGTCGTGGTTCTTCCTTAATTGGTACTGATTTCATGGACAAAGCCTTTCGCGGAAAAAAGTTGTCGGTTTTATCAAAGTTCTCTTCTTTTTCTACCAAATTCTGGCTAAGAACATTATCCTTATTCTCCGTTTTCTCCGTTATCAGGTTGTTGTCATTGGTATTTAGAAGAGGTTTCTCTTGGCGTTTAACGCAAAATTTGTTCAAGTGTTCCATGCGGCGATCCAATCGATTTGACGTAAAGCCACATTCCTCACAAACGTACAGTTTCTCCCGCCTCTCTTTGTAACCGTATTTCATTTGTAGCCCGTGCAATTTCCTGTTATGACTTTCTAGACTGCACCTTTGAGTGAAGCTTTTATCGCACATCTGGCATTTGTATGGCTTGACACCTATTATAATAGCAAGGAAATGAGTTTTAAAGAGAAATTTGGGAAAATGTGAATATATGACTTATTCTAACATTAGTCCTGTCCTTGCAAGAGTAAAGAATGGACATAATAGAAGAAAGAGGAAGAAAATGGTCGAACCATGTAATTACCATGTGAATGGAGGATATACTGAACACTTCAAAAAAGTGATTGGATAACTTATACATCATGGCTAGCATACAAAGATGAGAATGTTTAGTTGGTTCACGGACATACCAAAAAAATACTTGATATTTTGTTTAAACCCGTCTTTTTCTGGCTGGTAATATATACACACATAATTTTAACCAATATGATGTTTAAATTATGGGTTATAAGAGAAAAATGACAAATTAGTACGATAGGATTTGACATGCGTCAACGTGATATACCGAAATAAAATGTTTATAATTTTAGAAAATGGAGGATGGAAGTATCGAATTCCTAGATTTCTAAAAAAAAAAACGCATTAATCTTAATTTATTTTTTTTTTAGCCATTTAAAAATTATATAAAAAAAAAACAAACCTGTATGGATACGGGTATGCCTCTTAAGATCGAATTTAACGTTGAACCCTTTGCAGCAATAGGTGCAGAGATAACTCTTCAATAACGAATGGCATTTGAGGTGCCTCTTTAGTGATCTCGTGTAAGCGAACTGCTTGCCGCACACTTGACACGCTATGACTTTAATCCTCCCATTTCCCGAATCATCATTTCCCGCCTTTTCAGCAGCCCTGTCTAACGTTGTTATATTAAAATTATGATCGGTAGTAGTCCATCGGCGACTATTCCTATTGAATTCGCTCTTAATCGTAAGGCTAGATGATGTTGAAGTGCCGTAAGAATGATTTTCCTGTATAATTTCGGCAGGTAAAGGCAAAGGAATTTGGTTTGAGGCATTCATATTTTGCAATAAAGGATTCTTTATTCAGTAACCACCGTTTATCAGTTCAATGGGAACATCAGCTGAAATTTGAATCTTTTTTTTTAAAAAAAAATATATTAATAATTATAATTTTATTATTTTAATTTTAAACAAAATTTTTTATATTTTTTTTAAAAAAAAATAATAAAATTAAATAAATTTATTTTTTGTGAAAAGAAAAATAAATAAGGAGAATAATATTTTTTGCAGCGAACTAAATAAAGATAATTACAAGTAAACATGTCAATCGACAGAGACAGGATGTCAATATAGAGAACATTCAAAAATCATTTTTTTTTTAAAAAATAGGATTTGGATCCTTTTGGATGTTGTTACTAAAAAAAAATTTTATACATAAATTATTTGTAATATTTATTATCGATCATAATCTCTATTCCTTTCCGTTATTTTTTCTCTCCACTAGGGTGAATATAATAATCAATCTTTCTTACCAAAAAGTAAATGCAGCGTCTGACTTGATTAAAATCATTGCAAATAAAAATTATTTAAATTTATCAATAATTTTAAAATATAAATTGTCATTTTAAATAAAAAATTTTTTGTTTTGAATTTTGAATAAGGTAATTCCCATCAATTATAATTACTTTAAAATTTTAATGAAACGTACAGATGCATTATGTGTTCCAGACCCACATTGCAGGAATTCGATACTAACTAAAACTAACCTTTGTGATTTTGAAACTTTAAAAAATTTATATATAAATCTATGTTTCAAAGAATTTTTTAAAAAAAGGAACAAATAAATATTTAAATAGAAAAGAGAATTAAGTGTGTAAAATTTTCTTTTTATAAAATCAAACAAAACAACGTTATCACAATAATTCGTTACCAATTATTTGATTTAAAAATTCTTGTTAGCTAACTTTCAATATCTTAATTTTTATGCATCATATTTAAGGCTGTCATCGAGATATATATAATAAAATTCAAATTTAGATAAATTATTATGATATGTAAAATCAGAAAGATGGCTATATCTCAGGATGGTGTCCGAGTTAAAGATTAGAATTTTTATTATGGTTAATATGTCACGTTTTTAACAATAAATAATTATATTAATAATATAAAAAAAAGGAATCTTAATTTTAACGTAAAGTAATAGATTACTACTTTACGGACTGATTTTACTATTGTTTAATAGTTATTTGATATCTTTATTTATTAACATTGCGAGAGACTGAAAGATGATTAACACTGTAAAAATGATTGTTTTATTTTATATTAGATTAATATCATATATAAAGAATGAATGAATCGAAGATGAGTGATGGGTAAAATGTTAATTTAATGTTTATATAAAAGATTTCAAATTTAAATGATTAAAACAAAATCTATATCCACACTCATATTTCAATGGTGGCCAAGACATAAAAAAATTTTTTTTTCACAATATAATTCTCTCCTAAAGCAAATACAACGCTCATATATAAATAACATTTCTTAACGATGGATGAATGAATAATTCCACATATATAACCCAATTTTTCAGATTGGATTCCCATATATTTAGTAGCGATGACAGCGCCTAAACACGGAAATCGCAAAGTTTTTTAGACACAAACAAGATTTCCAAATAGGGGAAAAGGCCGCTTTGTTTCTTCAAAGTCTACCCGACAACGAATTTAACAACATTGGAGCAATTTGTATGGAGGCAGACCTCTAGGACCCAATAGCTCTTCTTGGAAAATTCAAGCTTCAACATCCTTCCAAGACCGAGTATGCCAAACTCTCCTTATTTTATGCTGCCGCCCAAGATAAAGGAGGAGACATTCACAACATGGGTTACATGCTTAGCCAGAATCAATAAAGAATGCAAATTTGGTGGCATTCAACGTATCATCGAAAAGGTCAGAATGGCTACGATTACCAAAGAGATCAGGAGAGCAATTAGGAGCTCCATGACCAAAGACATATATAATCTAGGTCTAGAGGAAGATATCAGGGAGTCAAATGATCAGAAAGCAGAAGCAATACATTTGGATGATTCACCTGGAATACAAAAGGAAATAAATTATGGGCAGAACTAAAAATGGCCACGAGACCGTGAAACCCAAACAGGACTTCAATGCACATTGTAAATCTTTTGTAAAATATGATGCTTTCACCAAGCAACCTCAGCTCCTATACGATAACTGCCTTGACAAACGTTTCGATGAACACTACAATAATCGTCATGATAACCGCGACCGTTTCGACAATCGATACGACGATCGATACACGGGTACAACTACTATGACAACGGCCACGACTGTCGTTGTGACCATAGTCAAAGTTATGATCAAGCAATAATTACTATACAGGCTACAATCAAAATAATTACCCACGTCGCGGTTATCATAGACATAACCCTCCCCTCAAAACAGCAATGGTTTTCCTAAATATTCGCTAGGCTCAACCATTACATTAATAACAACTATACCAATAAAATAACAGATCTTATAATTATAAATATCGTGCTTTTCATTCAAACTCCAATTATATTATGAACATCTAAGAAATCGACAAAGATGTCACAAACACCTACGTCTAAGAATACAATCTTCAGAATCGGGATATGAACAATCTGGTGGGTCAATGATAGCATATTAATGCAAGTGGATACCGGCATCTGTTATACGATACCGAGACACACAGCTAAGGCAGTAGGGGTAGCCACGACAAACAAATGAGGTTGACAGGGTACAACGGCAGCGCTCTCAAAATTATAAGCCTAGCCAATGTTAACGTGAAGTTTGAAGAAAACACACAAACGCTGGAAGCCATAGTGGCGGAGAGTGATAAGTGCTCCCTGTTAGGACGTGTATACCACGCCTTCATTAATTTAAAAATCAATGTGGGCAACGTAGACGATAATTCAAGAAGGTGATTTTGACTATGAAAAATGGTCTTGAGAGAACACGATACAATGAACCCAAAATGATCAGGCAAGTGAGATTCACTTGATGCATGACGCTGAACTTAGAATTATACCCCCTGGAGAGATCCATGTGCCAGGTTTGACCCAATGACTCGTGAGTTGGACGTCTGGCCAAAGGATAACATAGAACCTATATCTCAAGTCAGATGGGCAAGTCCACTAACACCTGTTTTCAAGAGAGACTGCATCATGAGGGTGTGCGCTGACTTAAAAGACATTACTAACCCTGCTCTAGAGGATTTTAGTTACCCGATACGCGCACAAACGTTCTGAGTGCTAAGTCAACTAAGGGCAGGAAATTTACCAAAATAGATTCTAAGCAAGCTGAAGACTCTGGGGATTTATTCACGATCTCTATAAACAAGGGCTGCTTTCGCTTCACCAAGCTACTGTTTTGTTTAAAAAGAAGACTATATCATGAGCATTGGCGTATTCCGTGGTGACAAGGGGCAAAGGCGTGATATAGAGAGTGAAAGATAAAAAAGGAACTAACGAGGCAGGTTCTAGGGAACGCTCTACCTATCAAAATCAAAGATACATCTAAGCATTTAGAAAACTTTATCATAAACATCAATGGCGTTTTCCACTCAACATATCTTATAAACATAGGAGAGATTTCTTTGGAGGGTGAAATGTTAATTTATCACGTTTTTAACAATTATAATAAAAATAATAATAATAATATTTAAAGAAAAAGAATTTTAATTTTACCGTAAAGTAATCTATTACTTTACGGACTGATTTTATTATAAAAGTTTGATATATGTATTTATTTACACTGCGAGCGACTGACTTAAGATGATTAACACTGTAAACTGATGGTTTTTTTATTTTATATTAGATTAATATCATATATAAAGACGATGAATTAGAGATGAAGAGAAAATTTTAAATTTAAATAAATTGATTAACAAATCATGAATATTCCTAGTTATTTGATCCATCTATATTCACCTATATCCACACTTTTATTTCAATTATTTAATGTTTATATAAAAAATCTATAAATTTTTAGAAAAATTGAAAGAAGTCGGGTTGAATCTTTGGCTGGATTTATTATGGAATTCACATTATACTCTGCAGACTTTAATTTTATCAAAGTTCAGCAAGTATTCCTCACACCTTAAAAAGACTAAAAATCTTTATTTTGAGAAATTAGATATTGATCATATTAATATTTCATAATATAAATCCAAGGTCACTTTCTTCTTTAATATTACAGTATTTTTTTTATTATCGATGCAATATTTAACAATGAATTTGAAATGGAAACAAGCGTATAAGTCAAAGATGACCAAGTGTATGGCATAGATTTCTTTAATATTTTAATTTTGTTCAAGATTAAATCAATAGATTTTTTAATCTAAGTGCTTGTGGCTCATTTTTAAAATGCCCATTCGTTGGATATCTTAAATAATAAATCAATTTTCATTCTAATTAGCTTGGCCAGCTAAAAAAGGTTGAAAGAAAATAGAAAATTTAAACTAAAATAGAATTCTTATTTAAATTTTAATATAAAAATAATTTAATTAAAAAAAGAAATTAAGATATTAATAAGGTTTTGGGAAGAGTACAACCTGTAAAATATTCATTGAACTTTAAATTTTCATCTAAATATATATTCTATCCCAGCCAACCAATGCAATATTTTATATAAAAGATTTATTTTTAGTAATATATTTAAAATTATATTAACTTATTTTTAGATTATAAAATTTAGATACTTTATGGTTTTTTAAATCTTCTTTCTAATAATATATAAAATTTTGAAAAATATTTAATTTTTTAATTCATTTTTTTTAACTTTTTTCTAATTTGTAAAATAAAGAAAAATATGCTGGTGTTTCTTATTTATTTCTTGGTAGCAACTTTGTATTCCAGTGTTATAGGTACAAAATATTATTGTAAATTGAAAATCTTTAATTTTTCTAAAAAAATCATAATTAATTTGAACCTTCAAAAGACGTCCCTTTATAGTGACATCGCGAATGATTATGCGATGCTCAAAACGAATCAAGAGCATAAATTATTGGCATATCTA